AGATTTTAAATATAAATGATTGAAACTCATAACAAGTTTGCTGCAATTTAAACTTAAGATAATGATTTAATTATTAAATCCGTAATTATATTAAAATATAACACTTACGAAGTTAATAAATATTAACTATTTCTATTTAATCATTTAATAATTAACACGCTTAATTTTTTATTTTAGAAATCATACAGGCTATAATCATTAATATGACTATATTAACAGTACTTAAATTAAAATTTATTTGAAGGAATGCTACTTGAAGTATTAACTCGATAACTCGATGTCGGCGTCTTGTCACTGTTGTCTGGCTGATTGGCCGTTTAGGTACCTATTTGATTTCAGATAATGCAGGTTTTAATGTGCCATTTGTGGTTTTTTATTGGATTTTTTTACATATTTGATATACTCTATGAAGTGCTCATGTCCATTTTTCAATTATTAAAGTGCCTATTTAGATACATTTAAAATTAATTATTTAGTGTATAGTAATTGAATTATGGGTTTGATTATTTTTTATGAAATGTATTTTTTTTTCTATTAAAATAAACATAGCTTTACTTACAAAATCACTAGCTAGCCATTTTTAAATACAGGGTGTTAATTAAGTATCTGGCCAACTTCAGGAGGTGATTCTTTGAGTGTTTTTAAGGTAAAAAGTTAATATAAACGTGTGTCCGGAAATGCATAATTTTAAAGATACAGGGTGTCAAGATGTTTCCTAATATTTTTTATTAATATCTCAAAGATCCGTTGGCCGATTTTGTTGAAATTTCGCCGTGTTGTGAACTTTGATAAGTTAGCACTAATTAAATGATAATAATTATTATTTACAACAATATTTAAACGGTAAAAACTTATCCCAATAAATATCTGACAACGCCTTGGATTCATTTGTTTTAACGCCCGTTGGCGGTGGAAACCATGCAAGCTTTTTCTTTGTGCTAAGTTGTTAATTAAAAAATAATAATCATATAAAACAATATGGTAATTAGTCTAAATTTATTATTTATGTGATTCTGCTCTTTCTCGTATAATTTGCCCCTTGCTTCTCATACGGAAATAGTTAGATTAAAATAGCCAAACTGTACCTAACAATGCTTTGACATATTTCCTTTTAAAATAATATCGCTTTCTTTATCCGCCGGTCCAGACTCGAACGCCCTTGCCCTATTCGCTCATCAACGCCAGCTCTATCGACTTAACGTGTTGGCAGGCAGGTTATTGAACCCATGTTACTTCGAGCATGTCGTTTTTTCAAAGACGGGTCCCATATAAACGCGGCCAGAAGTATTTTCAATACTAAAATAAAAATAAGATTCAAAAATATTTTGTAAGTTTATAGTAAATATAGTAATAGCTAATATTAGACCAGTGTTTACAAGATCAAATTCGATCATCAAAATATAAGTCATTTACGGCGTAGAAAGCCTTGTCTAGAAAATAAGATTTCAATGGTTTGCGAAATCAAGAAAATGATGTTATGGATTTGATTTCAAATGGCAGGTGATTGTGCATTTTTTTCGATATTGAACTTTTAAGTAACTCTGAGCATGGGGTAGGTAGATAAAGATCTTGCTCCGCGTTCCTGAGTGGATAAGTGTGAGATGGCCTTTCTTGAGAAGCTGATATATCCTTACGTATTAGGCAAACGGATTCAAATATAAATAAGGACGGAAGAGTTAATATTTTTAATTTTTTAAAAAAGTCCTGGCAATGAGTTCTGCTATTTAGTCCCAGTGAATATCGAATGGCTCTCTTCTGAAGCTTCAAAATACGGTCAAATTGAGTCGCACAACACGTACCCCAGAATGGAAGGGCATATCTGAGGTGCGACTCAAAAAGTGCATAATAAACAGTTCTAGCCACTGACAAGTTAAGCTCCTTAGAAACAGACCTTAATGCAAAACAGGCAGAGCTTAATTTTTTCGACAAAACGTCGATATGCATGTCCCATTTTAGAGAATTGTCTACAACAAGCCCTAAGAATTTTACAAATTTTACGACGTCAATGGTGGTGTTGTTAAGTACAAAAGGCTGCAGCGAGTTTTTATATATACGACAAAGCTTTAGGTTTAGAAATGTTGAGACTCAGGAGGTTCGAATCGTATCAAGATTTAATGGTGATTAAGTCATTTGATATAATCCTATGAAAAAAAAAGAAAAAGGAAAAAGAGCAAGAAAATGAAAAAATAATTTTCTATTCGGACATTGTAAAAGTAGACCCGAAAATAGGTTAAAATTAACAGGGAAATGTTAATTCATTATATCTCACATTGTTGTCGAATTAATCCGAAATATGAATACCCACAAAATTTTAAATATTTGTTTTAAAGCTTTTTAAACATATTGCCTTATTATTCCTTACAAACGCATGACACTACTGACTTCAGGTTGGGTTGCAGAAATCATTATACTTAGCATTAGCTGGCACAGCTAATTAAAAAAAACTAGAAATCCAGACAAATATTGCTTTGGAATAAAAGGCTATTCTTGTATGAAGATAAGAATGAACTTACTGAACTATTATTATTAAAAAGTGAAAGGTTCTTGCAGGATCAAATATGTAATACGTAAAATACAAACAAATAAAGGGATATAGGCCCCGAAGCCGGCAACGAGAGGGTGGTTGGTTTCCCTATAATGGCAAACAAGCATAACTTTTTATTATTCTCAGTTTTTCATTATCTTTAAGAACTAAAGATTTTACAAAATAGCAGTTATATAGCAAGAAATATTTGTATTTTGAAATAATATTGGTTAGAGATTGAAGTTCATTAGAATAACTTTTTATACTAATACATACATTCCTGATGCACTTTTCAAAATCAGAAAAGGAAACACTGTTTTTTATTTATTTTTAGAGATAGATATACTTGTAGTGCACTGATTTCCTCGTTTTGAGTCATCTTTGAGTAATCCACTACAGGTTCTGGAATTTATTTACTAGCATAATATGGATAAAATTAATAATATGATATCTTCGCTTATAATACTTTTTTAACTATCGCTAACAACGAAGCGACTATATTACCATCCTTTGCCGCTATCCACGTACACGCTACAAACTTCGGTCGATCCCCCGCCAAAGTCAACTTTCCTCAAAGAGTATCCGCACGTATCGTAATAAACGTACCCGCTTACGTGTGTGTATGTCATTCGCGTCTGCTCAACAACATTGTGCCGATGAATAGAGGACACCTCCATTGTTCCTCCTGCCGACTGATTTTATCTGCGACACCGAGCACGGGCCCGCGTGATGACATAAATAGGGCGATTGTTACAATATTGACAGTTCGCCCACAGTTTCTAAAGCCGGAGCGTGAGTTAAACTGATAGGCGGAGGAGGGCAACTCGAAATCTCCTTTGTTCTAGTCGCTATTAACTACGGAACGTTTACTAAATTGGGTGTACAGGGTGTTAATTAAAGTGTGCGTGGTTTAACATCACAACAATGAAATTGATATTCATGTCTAGTATTGTTTGACGGTGCTAGAGGTTTCATTTAAATTAATCTGTTAAGTCAGTCAAATTCATTGTTAAGTAGTATTTTATTATTTATTGAATTACGGCGTTTCGGATAGTTATACAGGGTAGTACGAACTGTATTCCGGAAACTTCGGCCGCATATTCTGCAGATAAAAATGAGTAAAAAACTTCGTATTAATATATGTTCTAAAATGCTTAGTTTCGGAGATACAGGGTGTAGAAGTTTCATTTTTATTTTGATTTTTTCCAGATAATATCTGAAGTAACGTCAATATTTAGATGAAAATTGGTGTCTGGGAGTTTTTTGACATGAGAAATTTGATTTTGTTGTCAATATTTTACTCCTACTTGTAGTGAGCGCAATCTACATGTGTTTTAACTGTTTTGAAGAGTAATATTTTTCGTCCGTACCTGTATAAAACTACTGAATAAAAAAATACATTCCCGTGATTTTTTAGGTAAAAAAAGTCTGTTGGTAAAAATCGCTACGAGCAACCGTTCTCAACATATTTAGAATGGAAATAGTCAATACATGCCATTATTGAACATTTAATAAACATTTTCAGTAGATAGTTCTGACTTCTCTGACTATTCTTCCAAAATTATGATAAAACAGTTTTCAGAACTTTTGGCACAAATACATTTCAAATTTATGATTTTAGTCTAATAACTATTTAGTCAGCATGTTTAATTTATGTCAGTGATGACAGGTGTTGATAATTTCGATTTGAAATATCTCGAGAACCATTAATCGTAGCGATTTTTACCAATAGACCTTTTTTACGTAAAAGACGTCGTAAATGCTTATTTTTTTACTCGGTAGTTTTATCCAGGTGTGGACTACGCAATAGAATTTTTTCAACAGTTCCAGTAATTCAAGCGTAAAACTACGTTTTACTACTTCACTACGTTTAGTTTCAGAATCGGCTAAATTTGGCATTCCGTGTTAAAATTATTTAGAAAAATTGTGAAACGTGATACGATTGCATTTAGATTTAATTTTAAACTAAAAATTATTCACAGCATAAATGGAATCTATTAAATACATACCCACGCTATATAATATCTTTGTCAGATCAAATAAATAAGGAAAAGCTCGAGCACAGAATATTACAACAGAAAAACAAAATAATTAGTTAAATAATGAGGAAACATTTACTTTACCTTTAATAATCTTCTTTGTCACAATAACCAACATTTGCAAACCAAAAATAACATTAATGTGTCTCGAATGGTAGTTTATTTTAATCCTAATATCTATTATCGTTGTTATTTGTTTGATTTCCGTCTCCCTAGTTTGCGAATAATATTTTACGAATACGAATATATTTACAGAGTGTTATAAAAATTTTGAATTTAAAGAAATATGTTTATTTTTAAATAGGCGATTCATCTCACAAGCCCCCTTTATAATATTTAGTATAAAAAAATCTCACTATTAGTTTACAGTCTGATTTATAAATCACAATATGGCTCATCCCTAATAACCTCTATTATATCCGTTTTTATTGTTCCAGATTAACCGAACCATGACCTACCCGACACCACCAGCCCTCCGTTCTCCCAGTTCGACCCAGAGACCTGCCCGCGACCCACCACGTTTCGCCTACTAGACCGGGCGTCCTTCTTCGGGGCGCCTGCGCCGGCGGGCGGCGGCGGCGCCGCGGGGACATGTAATCCCGCGCAGCAAGCGGCGCCCACGCATCGCGCCACGCCCTCCGCCTCCGCCATGTTCTCCAAGCTGCGCAGCGGTGGGGGCGGGGGCCAGGCTGGCCACGCCATTGAATCGAATCCGATCGGACAGTACTTCGAGATCGGCAAGCAGGTGGCCAATGCCGGGCCGGAACTCGTGTGGAAGATACACGATGCGTACAGGAAGAGTGATGGGAAGGTGAGTTAATAGTAATTGATAGAGGATTGATTTTATCTATTTTTTATAAGTAAATGTATTATACTCGTATTCTGGGGTAGGGATGTGCGATTCTGTGAAGGAATCAATTTTCTTGGATCGATCTAGATTGAATGATTGCAAATCGATACAAGAAAAATCCCCAAAAAGTGAATAAATCAATCTCAAAAAGATTGTTTAATACAATTTTTGACTCTGATTTTCCGTTTTCGCAATAAATTATAAATATATATTTCTATTTTTTCATGACTTTTTACACAAAAAGATTTAAAAAAAATTATACAAAAAATGTATAATTCTGAACAGCAAGTACAATTTCGTTAGGTAACGTAAAACTTTAAACCTAAAAACACAACAAAATAAAATTCTAAATAATTAAACAGTAAAATTACTTTAAAATTATTGTTTTTAATACGTAATTAACGATATCTTCTCAAATTGAGGATAAAATTCGGGTAGCATGACGATTCGATCTCGAACTAAAAGAATCGATTCTATATAAAATCGATTTTGGATTAATCGACTCAAAAAATCGGGAATCGCATGTCAAAAGCTCGATTTTTTGAAGAATCGATTTAAATCGAACATCCCTAGTCTGGGAGCTATACCACATGTGAGAGGAATTATTTAAATCCTCTTTGCAACGTTCTGCAAAAAGTTTTTACTGTTCTCTTTTTCTCAACGTGCTTCTTAATTATGACAAAAATGTCACTATTTTCATCTGCGGAAGTTTTCAAAAATAAAATAATTAAATCTATATAGTACATAGAAATTGTGTGCAAAACAATTGCATTGTGCGTTTTCGTTGAATGGCTATAATGGCTACTAATGTAATAGTAGGTATATTACCTAGTGAGTGTTGTAAGGGAACATATTACCTACAAATAAATAAGATATGTTCAGATCTTGTAGGGGCCACTCTTATACAGGTGGTGAATCTTCGTTGGAAACATAGGAAATCGCATGCTAATTTTGAACTGTCCAAATGTTGGCTCCCCTACTTTATTTTAAAGCGAAGTCGTAAATAGGTTTATTAATATTTTGCGTATGGCTAAATACACATGCCAACTTTTAACAATTATGTATAGGGTGTACCATTTTCATCGAAATCATACGGTATCTCGGAAGATAGAAGTGTGCGGTTTGCTCAAACCTGTTCTACTTTTTTGTCAAACGGACGATGCTATAAACAAAATTTTCATAGCCCTCTTCGTTTCTGAGCTACAGGTTTTTTTTATTTTTTTTTTCTATTTGGGACACTCCCTGTATCTCTGTTATTGTGAAAGGCATCCCAAGCTGGAAACTGTTTTTGAAACAACTTTGAACATATTAGAACTTTTTTAAATTATTATTTCTCAAATCAATGAATTGGAACCAAGGGTCCCATATGATGGTCTTCTTGATTCCCGAATTTGTCCGTTCTCGATTTCCTATTTTGGGGATTTTAGTAATATGAAATATATCATGGCAACTACAACAATGTCGAACACCTGGAAAATGCTTTAACAATGCAAGCTTTTAGATATTTGCACACCCATCCCATTATAATAAATTCCGTTATAAAAAAAAGAAAAATATATTTAGGTTTAGTGGTAACAGTTCAAAAGTAAAATAAACTAAGTGACATTGAAAATTGAATACCCACTAAATATTATTTAATTTTAATAAATGTTTGTAAGCATGTTTATTATTGTATGGATAAGAAATGATTATAATTTGAACGCCGTCAACACACTAGTTTTTGTGCTATACATGTTTATGTTAAAATTCCAATCATCCAATATAGACCCGGCTTTCGCACAGTTTGTTACTTATTCTGCTACAGAGTAGTTTCAGGTATTTTTCTGAGTTTATTATAATGCCTAGAATATGTAGACGTGCCAATTTTAGACAACTCAGTGATTTTGATAGGGGTCGGATTGTGGGTTTGCCGGAGGCAGGATTATCATTTCGAAAGATTGCTGATAGGGTCCATAGAAGTGTTTGCACTGTTGCCAATTGTTGTAGAGCTTACTTTCAACAACATCGTGAACATCGTGTCAGAGGTATAGGGCGTCTAAGATTAACCACTGAGGGTCAAGATCGCCATTTAAGGCAATTAGCTGTCAGAGACCGTTCGGCCACTTCCCGAGCAATTGCTAACCAATGGTTTACGGAACACGGAAGACTCATCACGATGCGAACTATTTACAGACGATACGGTCTTTTGGGCTGGTTTCTTTTCGGCCTTATTGGGTTTTATCATTGACCCCTGAACATCGACGACAACGTCTAGAGTGGTGCAGAGTCCAACAAGAATGGGGCGCAGAATGGAATGCTATTGTTTTTAATGATGAGTCGCGATTCTGTTTGGGAATGCACGACAGTCGGACGCGAGTGAGAAGATACCGTGGAGAAAGGCGGAATCCATAGTTTTTCATGGAGAGGCACGTAAACCAAGTTGTAGGAGTTATAGTTTGGGGAGCAATCGCATATTTTAGCAGGCCACCCCTAGTATTTGTTCGAGGTAATATAACAGCCCAACGCTATATTGAGGAAATTGTGGAAGCTCATCTCTTACCATACTTACGAACGCTCCACGATCCTACATTTCAACAAGATAATGCCCGTCCCCATGTTGCTAGATTAACTGTGAACCACTTACATAATGCCCAAGTTAATCTCCTACCCTGGCCACCAAGATCTCCAGATCTCTCACCAATTGAACATGTATGGGATATCATGGGTAGGAGACTGACAAACTTACCGCATCCTCCTCAGACACTAGAAGCTCTTCGGCATGAGATACAGTTAGCATGGGATGAAATACCGCAAGAAGGCATAAATCATCTGATTAGTTCCATACCCAGACGGCTCAACGAATGTATAGAACATTGAGGTGGTCCAACACATTATTAACAAGGACAAGGTAACGAGCCAATATTTTCACTCCAAATTTTGACCATTTACGCCTTTTGTCAACCTACATTCATGTACAAAAGATTATTAAAATTAAACAATTTTTAGTGGGTGTTCTATTTTCAATGTCACTTAGTATATATTAATTACAAAGATAATTTTGTGTATGACTAATGTAGTAAATACCATTTTGATTTTTTCGAAGATACGAGTGTTGTTCCAAATTACAAAATTTTCAAAAAGACCCTGCAGCTCAGAAAGGAAGAGGGCTACGAAAATTTTGTTTACAACATTTTCCGTTTGACAAAAAACTGGAACAGGTTTGTGCAAACCGCATCCTCCTATCTTTACTCATAACGGAGATACCGTATGATTTCAACTAAAATGGGACACCCTGTTTTTAGGTTTTAATTTAAAAATAGATACAGTTTTTCTTAAATTAGTAAAAAACAGCTTATCCAAATTGTTAAAATTTGGCATGTGTATTCAACATACGCAGAGCTTTAAAAACCTACTAACGACTTTGCTGTAAATCAAAAGAGGAGCCAATATTTGGACAGTTCAAAATTTGCAAAGGATTTCTTATGTCTCCAATACCCATGCTCCACCCGGTATAGTGGTTTTACCTAAAAATATCTACTATCTGTGTCAAGTTATTTTCTGAACATTTGGATCCTGCCTTTTGTCTTATTTACATGATTGTCCTGGATAAACTTATTAAATCTGTAAAAAATGCTTATACAATGTCTTATGCAGATACATATTAGCTTATGATAAGATATTTAACAAACTTTGAAAACATATTTTATGTTTGCTGTAGTATAATATTTAAGTTCTTTATTGAATGTTCATTAAATACATGAATATCAAAATGTCAATATTTTTTTATTCTATTTTACATAATTAGTATGGATATGATTCCCGGTTCTTGGAAGAAAACTCATTCTTCACCATTTTGAGTTCTTACAATATGTATGTTTTCGCATATATTACAATATATACGTAGCGGTTTAATAAATTATTTAAATCCATATAATGAGAATGTGTATTGCACAAGTTTGTGTGATTTTTTAGTAGAATGACAAAATATCGTAGATAGCACACAAAAAATAATGTCAGTAAAGTTATGTATAATGTAGGCAGACTATAGACGCCATATAAGCATGTTACGAGTCAAAAGAGTTTGTAATTTAATTGCGGCTCTTGTGCATCCAAATGGAGAAATTTTACTAAATTTTCAATGTGCTTTCAATAAAAAATTTAAATATTATACTATTCTAAACATAGTTTATAAAATTTGTTAAATATCCTACGCTTTTCGCACCAAAAGAGATTTGGAGAAGTGCCTAAGTTTATACAGAGAAGACCAGGCTACTAGTAACATAGCAAGTTGCCGGACGAATTTACGTTTACCCGATTTGCTTTCGTACTGGAGATTCACTGCCGGCTAGTCAGCTGGTCAGACAGTACGCAGTTGCAGTTGTGCTTGGACGGGTCGGTCGTGACAATAGGAATACGACGCGAGGAGTGCCGAGTATTTATTATTTTCATTTTAAGTGTTTACCTTCACTTAAGGTAACATTTAAAATAAAAATACTTAAATATTTATTATTTGAGTGTGTTTACAAGCCAAAATTAAAAATAAATAAATTCTCTAAACCCGAAAAAAACTAAAATATTACTCTAAATAAAAAAAGTTATAACAAGTGTTCTAAAAGACCACCTTCTTGCACTAGACAGAAGCCTAGGCGGTCGTAAAATTCCCGTCTGACAGTGGCTAACATATTAGGGCTAATAGTTTGAAAAGCCTCTCATATTTTTACTTGAAGCTCATCTAAGCCCTATTATGACCATACACTTTGGATTTTACACAACCCTATAAAAAGAAATCATTGGGAGAAAGATCTGGTGATCTAGCGGACCACAAAATAATTCCATATCCGCTAATTAAACGGTTGGGAAAAGTATTGTTCAAATATTCTTGAACAATACGGGCATTGTGGGCAGGGCAACCATCTTGTTGAAACCAGACATTGTGGAATCTTTCTCTCAATAACTCACGAATTCTAGGGACAATCTAATGCTGTAACAAGTCCAAATACTTTGCAACAGTTAAATTACCCTTTATAAAAAATGGACCAATCATATGCTCCCCTACAAAACCACCCCAAACACTTGCTTTAACTGCTGTTCTTCATTAATCAACACATCAGGCTTTTTGTGTTTTTGTGGGGAAACGCACCTATGTGTTTCAAAATTATTAATAACTTTTGATATAGTAGGTATATATGGAATTGGCCTGTTTACAAAAGTTTGTGGAAAAATTGTTTGTATATCCCGATAAGACCTATTTTGGAAATACCATTTTACAATTTACACTTTGAATTTTCTCACGAACTTCGTAAACATCCATTATTTTATTAAAAAATAAATTTTACACGGGAGCTGTAGCGGGAATCTATGTATTCGTTTTGGCTATTAAAACACGAATAAATACAAATTCTCTAACATTCTTATCACATATCTACATACCTATTTTTATTTTATCGCATTTTTTCGCCTACTTTTTATCCGGCGGACTGGTATACGCTAATTCGTCCGGTTCTGCCTATGTTACTACTACGGTGGTCCAGTCTGTATATGAAAATTTCTTACTAGTTTTTATAAACAATTTCACCTACCACCACCATTACATTATTGTTTTTATGCGATTTATGCGCGTGTAATATGTGTAATTTTGTTTCAGGAATGTTCTATTTTTATTTTTGAGAAACGATGTGCCGAAAAATTACACAAACCAAAACGTAAAGAGACTGTAACTGAAATATTAAGAAATTCGGTAAGGCAACTGGAAAGATATCGACATCCAAAGGTACAATACAATATATTTTTAATACGTATACAATATATTTTTAATAAATACGATGAGAGTGAGAAAAATTACAAAAAAGAATAAAATACTTAGGTTAGGAAATATCGTATGGTAACACACAAAGTTATCCAGTATACAATAAAATACATTTGACATTAATAGTAAGGAGTTACATATATTTTTTTCTACGACTAGCCTAAAAAATGCAGTTTGACACACGGAAAACTCGATCTGAAATTGGCGTTTTGCGAACTGTTGTGTGCTAAGGATTTACCGCACAACATGTGTCATTTTACACACGATATGTGTCATTTTGCACACGACATGTGCAAATTTTAACATTTTTAACCTCCAATGTTTAGCTGAAACGCCAAAGGCAACGCAGCCGTCAGAAAGGTGTCATCATTACATAGCAAATTATTTCACAAAACTGGCAAAAACTGAGTGAGTTTGCTGCTAATTTGTAGTCGTAGAAAAAATAGCGTAAAAAACTCGTTCGAAAACTCCTTTGTACACTCGTTCGACTTGCGGCTGTTGCCTGCGGCTCGAGCCAACAAACTGTCGAACTCGTGTTCAAAACGTCGTTTTCGAAACTCGTTGTTTAATATACTATTATAAATGTAAAAGGTAATTTCTCTATTATCATTTGTCACTCTCTGGTTAACAGTATTTTAAAATCGTCAAACTATAGGTCTAATATATTTAATAAATAATTAAACGGTGCTCAAAATTCCATTTCTAACCTTTATTTGAACGTTGGGATGAAAATGAGTCGTGATTCTAAAGTGAAATATCCCAAAAATTTAAGATAAATTAAAAATATTATGTTAATCTTTCAGATTTTACACGTCATTCATCCAGTTGAAGAATGCCCAGACACCCTGGCTTTCGCTTCGGAGCCGGTTTTTGCCAGTTTAGCCAATATACTAGCCTTCCAGGAAGCCGCGACTGTCAGTTCTTCCCCTGGTGGCATGCAGCAACAGTCCAGACCCGGAGTATTCCAGAGGGAATATTCCTTTCTGGATATGGAGTATAAATACGGAATTCTACAGGTGAGTTATCTTTATGGTTATCTTTGTCATTAGCACTCTATCTATGACATCGACATTTGACAAGTTGTGTTGGAATTAATAATTATTATAAAAATTAATAATAACACAATATACAAATATATATAACAGTGTTATTCGAATAATATTCGGGATATCGGCAGAATATTCTGGCAGATAAAAATATTGTAAAAATCCTAAGTTCCTATATTTTTTATATCCTAAATGCTCTGTTTCAGAGATACAGGTGCAGAAGTTTTATTTTTATTTTTATTTTTTTTTTCAAATTATTTATGTACTAACGTCGATATTTGGATAAAAATTGGTGATAACTTTCCGTACATACCTAATATACCTAGTATAAAGCGACTGAGTAAAAAAATATACATTTCCATAATTTTTTACATAAAAAATTTTCTTGGTAAAAATCGCCACGTGCAACCGTTCAAGATATCTGGAATGGAAATAGTCAAGACATGTCATTATTGACAAAAATAGCATGTTGAGAGATTAGAAAGTTATATGACTCAAATTATAATTTTATGAACTATTTATTTTATTCTTTTTATATTAGTCACAAATGTTTCTAAAAAAGGGAGAAAAAGAACCTTTGCACAATAACATTTCAAATTAATTATTCCAGTCGAATAACTATACTATATATGTAGTATTCTATACTATATCATCTAGTCATGTTTAATTTTTGACAATGATAACATATATTGATCTATTTTGATTCCAAATATCTTGAGAACCATCATATGATCATCTGACACAACATAGGTAGTACATTAAATTCACAAGAAAGAAAACCCAAAAAATCTAGTGGTTCTCAAAATTTAAGCAAAAATTCATTTTTTTATTAAATTTTCAAATCAAAATAATTTGGTTATTTTGGACTTGTTTTAAAATAGGCAAAGCAAAAATATGTTTTTTTTTAAATTTTCAAAGCAAAAATATGTTCATCGAGATCTGCTAGCCCTCAAAATATTTGTACTTATTTAAGACTCACTCCGTATATTCATTCAATATTTGATTTGATAACTCTCATAACGTTCGAATAAATATAAAATAAAATAAAACAACACTTATTTAATCCCGAACTATGATTTATTTTTATCAATGGGTGCTGGGTTAAGTGCATAAAATATATGTGTCTATAATACGGAATTCCATCATGTTACTTCCATTTTCCATATCCGGTGATTTTATTTTGTTTACTTTTAATTTTGATAAATACATAGTGCTCTAGATTGAATGTTATTACAATATTGATTCATGCATTACCATTTATGCATGAATGTAAATATATTTTACTAAATTGAATTTGAAACAAATTACTAGACCGAATTGAAAATAAATAGAGTGACACACTATTATTAAATATTTTATATTTGGTTTTATGTTGAATAATTTGTAAAGTTTATACACAGAGTGGTAAATCACATCTACTGTGAATATAGAATGAGTGGGAGGAGGGGGGGGATTAATCACTGCGACCTTAAAGATCTATTGTGTCCCCCTTCTTTGAGTTATAACTCATCATACAGTCTGTAACCCATCATACTTGAGGATTTTCCTGTTGTAGGGGGGACAGGTTATTTCCCATCCTCCTCTAACAGCAGATGTTCTTCCTCCCACGTTTGGAGTTTGGCTCTCCGTCCCTATCCTGCTTAATAATTTAATCCTGCTTATAATAAAAATATAAATTTCTATGTCTAATTTCTATTCTTCTAGTATCATTCTTAACTTCAGCATTTAATATAAACGATAACAGAGCTTTTAAACGTGGATTTTGTGATTGTCTCATATTTAACCCAGCACGTCTCAATTTTAGACTTTTTATGGGTTAAATAAGGTCCGTATTTATAGTCGCGTCTCGAGACCCCAAGACAGTCTTGGGCTCTTGAGAGTGCAAACCACAGAGGAAACGTCATTTTGGAGACTGCGATTATCGTTTTGGAGATTGTCATTTTGGATAGTTTATGTGATCTGTGGATTGGATAGTTCCGATAGTTTCTTAATCTTAACCTAACTTTTTTAGTAAACATAGTAAATCCATAGTAAATCCGTTTTGTCTGAAACAATTAAACAGTTTTAAATACGTTAGAAGAGTTTTAGGATATTTTGGACCATGCGGAAGAAGAAAATCGTTTTCGAGTTCCAAAAAGATATATACAGGATGCAGGAAATCCAATAGAAATGTTTAGCGAGGGGGAATTTAAATGCCGATATAGGTTTAACACGGCTACAATTACAGAAACTATTTTACCACTTATAATTGAAGACTTGCACAAACCTACCAATCGTGGTTTACTCATTCTCCCCTTTATTCAATTACTCATTTGTTTTTACGGATTTACTTTGTTTACTAAAAAAGTTAGGTTAAGAAACTATCCACAGATGACATAAACTATCCAAAATGACAATCTCCAAAACGATAATCGCAGTCTCCAAAATGACGTTTGCTCTGTGGTTTGCTCTCTCAAGAGCCCAAGACTGTCTTGGGGTCTCGAGACGCGACTATAAATACGGGTCTAAGAGACACACCTTTCTGCATACTAACTTTTTTAGGGGTATTTTTGGTATACTTTAGGGGTATTTTTGGTTTTACTTTTGCAATAGTGTCGTTACCACCAATGCCTTTTATAGAAGAAATGCTTTTGTATTTAAAAGGTTGTAACTAAGAAAAAACTAAAACTTTTGAAAATTTTCTCATTTTTACACAATTTGGCCGAATTATTTATAAATTTCAGCCGAAATCAAATTGAACTTCCAAAACGAAACTAAATGGAGAGAATTCGAATAGCGTTGGATATTTCTGACAAATTTGTTCTAGAAAAAATCTAAATTAATTCGAATTAGACAGAAACAATGCTGTCCTTGTTTAGGCGGCCATACTTGTCGTCAGGAGAATAACTTGAGTTTCCAATTTTCCTATTTAACTGACACCCTCATTGGGTCGTCTAGCTGCAAGTAAAAAATGTATATTGAATGACTCAAATTTAATTTAAAATCTTGAAAACGTTTTTCGTTTTTTTTTCTGTTTTACACGTTGCAGTTTAATTTTCTGTAGTCAAAAATATAATAATACGAAATTACAGGTCATTAAAACAATATTCGTCATCATCGTCGTATCCTTTTTCGGTTTAGGTTTTAAAAACCTGTTCCGCTTTACCATCTCTGTTTTGGTCGTCCAATACTTCTCCTTTCTGGAGGTTTATATTGTAGCATTTTTTTGTGGAATTCTATCATATGTCATTCTTTCTACATGTTCCTTCCATTTGTTTTTATATTCTTTTACTTTTTTTCTAACGTTTGTATTTCTAGTTCATTTCTTATTGTGTCATTTCATATTCTATATTCTCTACTTATTTCCTTTTATTTTTCGTAAGAATGTCATCTCCGTTGTTCTGAGTCCTTGTTCTTTACCTTTTGTAGTAGTCCAGGCTTCGCTGCGTTAAATACTATTGGTACCGCTAATGTATTATAAAGTCTTACTTGCGTTTCTAGCCGTACTTCATTTTTAAAAGTTTTTGTGATAGTTCCACATACTGACTAAAATTTATTTTTTTTCCTTGTAGTCAGTATATTTATCATAGGTTACGTCGCATCCCAAGAAGCTGAAATGCCATATTTTCTGTAGTGGTTTATTTCTTAAAACTATTTTTGTGTGGATTCCGTGTTTGTCCCAGTGTGCCATCAGTTTTGTTTTTGCGTTATATATTTTTCCATTATATTTTATTATTATCTTGTCTAGGAGATGAACCTGCCTTTGTAAGGTATCCTCGTCTGGTGCCATTATCACTTGGTCGCCTGCTGCTGTTGGTCTTTTCATTGACTTATAACTTGGTCCACATATACAGGGTGGTCCGAACTATATTCCGCAAACTTCGGCAGCATATTCTGCAAATAAAAATAAGTAAAAAAGTTCATATAAATGTATGTCCTAAATGCTTAGTTTCGGAGATACAGGGTGTATAGAAATTTTATTTTTATTTCGATTTTTTCCAAATAATTTCTGAAGTAACGTCAATATTTGGATGAAAATTGGTGTCTGGGAGTTTCTTGACATGATGAATTTGATTTTGATGTCTATTATGACTCCTATTTGTAGGAGGAGCCACCTACATGTGTTTTAACCTTTGAAAAAGAAGACTAAGGAAGGAGCATAATGCTATCCATGTATTCATGCATGGTGGGCGGAAAAGGCACCATAAAAGCTCTCTAGGGTGGGGATCCTTGGCAGTTCTGTTTGACGATTTATTTGACACATTTGAATTTGATTTCAAATTTTGTGGATTTGTTAGTCTTTTTGGAGCTTATTTTATGTTATTTATTATTTATTCTACTACTGATAGTTGTATAAAGGTAGTAAATCTAGATGGAAATTGTGGCAGAACTTAAATTAACAGTGACACTATCCCGATTTATCGAAAAAGACTCTAAAATAGTTGGTTGTGTAGCGTGCGGTAGATCTCGGCAAAAATTGAGTGAAATAATGGAACAACTTTTCGCTAGTAAGTGACTATATAATATACACACGTGTAGTAAACCGATCATTTATGAAATTCACTTAAATTAACTAAATTATATATTTTTCTTGCATTTTAGCTTTTATTTATTACTTGTCAAAGATTAGATGTCAAAGAATTTAGATACGTTAATTTGACTTACCTGCTTCAGTAGCGTATCGGATGTTTGTGTTAATAAATACTTATTATAACTTATCTATTTTTATTAGAATTATATATTTTTATAACAATTTTAATAACTACCAACATTTATTCACAACGTAAAATAAAACAACAAATTATTGAGTCTACAACACGTCTACCCTACATCATAGTTTTACATTTTTTAAATAAAATTAGAACGACACTGATAAACCGGAATTTAAGTCGGCCATATTTGAGGCCCATCGCGGTGTACCTAAGATTTTTGATATGCTCCTTCCTTAGTCTTCTTATTCAAAGGTTTTAACTGTGTTAATAACGAATTAT